TCCTGCAAATTAGTAGGAGCAAGGAAGTGTCATCGCTGTTGCAGCCTGTTCCATTCAAAGATCTGACTTAGGCCATCCCATCCATGGAATTAGTTAGCAAGCAGAAGGAATAACTTAGTTGTGTTGATACAGTGATAAAATTCATTAATTTTTTCCCCATTAATTGATTTTGAAGCATACCTTTTGAAATCAAGTCACTCATTAACGTAATTTTTTGTATGTGTCCCAGCTGTACAATTAAGTAGAGAATGCATGATGTATAGTTTCTGTCCCCAAAAAACCATTTCCAGTAAGTTTGTGGAGAAACACACTGAAGCGTAACAGTTGGGCTTATTTTATAGACACAGAAGTATAGTTGCAAATTGCAGCTATTAGGAAAGCAATTCATGTTCAAAGCTGTCCTAATAGCCTCTTGTGGTCATGGCTGGAAAGCAGTGCCTGATTTGTAGCAGGTTTTACCCAAACTGTTGGGACTCATTTATCTGCTAATACCAAATGAAAATTTTGGGAGAATATCACTGTTTCTGGAACAGAAAAGAATATGTGGTAAGGAGGAAAATAGACACTTTGGAACCAATGGGAAAGTGTTTAGGCTTGAATTTTAACGAACCAGTACAGTTATAAAAATAAACCTCTGTCCATAGTTTAGAAAGTAAATTGTTAATAGTGACTAGAAAATGGATGTACTAGGGAAAATTACGAATATGAAGTGAAATTGCATCTCCCCTGGATCAAAACTGTTTTCCAAAGAAACTAGGTCACAAAAAACTTAGGTTTGTCATTTCTGCTTTGTTTCTGATGTGCTTGTTTACTTTGGTTCATTTTCTAATCAGCGTAGGTAGGCAAAAGCTCATGTGGAAATTTATGGATTGTAAGATTAAATTAATAACATTGACTCTTGAGCAGGTTGTAAGTGAATACATACTCCAGCTCTTTGCTGCAGACGTAACGGACTATAAAATAGATTGTGTTCAACTCACCCACCTCATATTGTGCACCAAAACGAAACTGAGTCTACAATGAAGTGTGCACACTCTTTTATTGACTCCTGAAAAATTGATGGAGATGACTTTAGAAGATGTAACGTATGTATATGTGTGTATGTACACACACACGCATCTGAGTAGTATTTTTCCTCTAGTAACATACCTTGCTGAAACTCCTGTTGGCATATTTTGTTCAAGAAGTATGCTATCAGAGGAACTAAACTGTATTATTGATATACCTGTGCTAGTCTTTACCAGTAAAAGAAAACCATATGAATGAAGCTGCTGTTCTATGTGATCAGACACAACTAAGATAACTCTAAATATATTCTAAGCACATGGGATACATGTGACACAGGAGCTCAGTATACAAATGGGGTTGGTCTTGTTTTCTGGGAAATTATGAAAGGCTTTTATTTCAACCGTATCAATTTAAGGGGTTAAACTGCAGAAGTAAATATATTGAAATTTGTCTTTTTCTCTGAGAAACTAAAAAGAGTGGAAAATTGGCAAACTTGGGATCCATGCCTGAATTTAGATTTCAAAGCCATTTCTATCCTTGAATCTTGTACATGAATTCAGAGGGTTGCTAAAATGACATTGTGATTTTTAAAACCACTTGAACGCTTAGAATTGAACAACTATGTGTTAGATTAGAGATTTGTTTGGTTTATGTTTTCTGCTGCTGCTTCTCATTTGATATGTTAAATAAGCATTATCTGACATAACAGAGGAATAATTCTGAAAAGATTAAAGGTGATAAATATGATTTTCCCTTGATGAGATGAGTAAACTCATGTAATGCTTATTAAAATAAAAATAGTTTATTCCAAATGTAAAACTCTATGTACTAGCCTGTTGGCTCATTAAGTTACAATGTATAATAATGTGTTTAAACACGTAAGTTTTAGTAACAGTAGGAAATTGGATGCAACCCATAGAATTATACTGTTCAAGATGATTGAAACTCAGATGGAGATGATCACAATGGCAAGTATGATTATTTGAGCAGTAGCAATAGTTTCCTATGGATTTGTGTGTGGTGTGCAAGCCATGATATCTGATTGACACCATAAACTCTTAATTAAAGCTGTTTTCGTGATTTAGACTTTTCTTGTCTATGTGTCCCTAGTAAGTTACAAGCTCTGGTTATGAGCCAGCCCCTGTCCAGTCACCTAGCTTAATGAAACTTTTAAGAACATGTTTGTCTTTTATCACTCATTTAAAATCTGTTTAGAATTGGTCAGTATATTCAAAATAGGTAATATCAGGGACAGTATAATCAGATAAACAATGTTGAAGACTATTTACATGAGCAGAAGCTAATGACAGCATGAGATTTCTGATGAGGTTCTGTAAGAATCTGTGCTTGGATCATTGTTTTTAGGATATATGTAGCATGGTTTTTAATCTTTCGTCGAATGAGCATAAAACAAGATGATGGTACATCAGAAATAATTAGGAATACCCAAGTGCAAAGATTGTAATCTTATAAAACTCCTAAGGAAATTACAAACATGCACAAAACCAGAGGTATGAGAAGATAAAAGTGTAGATATTTTGCAGAGCCTTAGGAGGCAATTGTTTAAGCACGACGATTAATGCACCATGTTTGTGATGTTAGGGCCACAAATAGGTCTAGCATATTTTAGCTTGGAAACATGAGCACCATGAGTAAGCTAGGAGCAGCCTCCTCTTACGGAGTTCAAGTGCAACTGCAAAATACAAAAAAACCCCACCAACTACTTCTTTTTTTTTTTCTTCTCACATGCTTCTGGTAACTTTCCTGAGCTGTTGTAGCTCATCCCTTTCAAACCATGGCTTTAAAATTTGGTGGGGGTGGGGTGTGTTAATTTGTGTTTGAAGTCCATTTGGACATGGTTTTGAAAATCTATTTGGAAAACCTCATTTGCATATGCAAATTCAATTTAACGGTTCAGCTTGGTGGAAGCAAATTTTTGTGTGTGCTGTGTCCTTCCTGCTGCTTCTTTGGAAGAATGAAAAGGTAAAGGAGATAGCCTGGCTAGACTGGGAAGAGAAGAGAGATTGCAATGAAGGGAGTGGAGAACGGAAGTCTGATGGAGAGGAGGTCTCATGGGCAAAGATGAGAGATAGAAATGGGCCAGCACAGAGGAAATGGAGGGAAAAATGTTTAAATACAAAGAGGAGGAGAGGGCTAGACGCCGTGGAGTTGTTGGAGGAGCTGAGGAGTTGGGGGCAAATTGTGTATGTAAATAATGGGCGAGTGCTGAGGACGCAGCCGGTACAGTTAGCAGAAATGGAACGCATCAGCAGGGGAGCAGATATGCTGGTGATGAATTGGGCACTGAAGGGGTGGCTGCTCGCAGGATGGCATCAGAAGCAGAAGAATCTGGTACACAGGGACTGAAAGGAGGAAAGTATCTAAAATATGGGTACACAGGCATATTTTACAGGTAGGAGCAGAGCTAGGCAGGTGGGCCAGGAACAGAAGACAGCTGTGTTTGCCGTATTACTGGGCTGTGAGGCTTGGTAAAACTGGAAATTGCTCAGCTTTAGAGGTCTTAAGGCTCTATGCTTCCCTGCTGTCTGGGAAAGAAGTGTGAAGGTGCTGTCAAGGTGTGAGGCTCTGCTTGACCTCTGTGCTGCCTGGCTGATACAAAATAGCTGAGTGCTGTTGGACCAAGTGATAGAGGCTTTTGCTGTGGCTGCAGCTGTTCAAACCTTGCCCAGCTGGCAGGCTGCATGGCTCCACACAGCAACATCTGTGTGTGCTTGAAAGACTTAATAGCTTTAATTTAAAACACTTTTGCATATGTCAACAGACTTTTCTTTTTGTTTGCTTGTTTGTTTATTATTCTTTTAACATTTTTAGTGTAATTTTTATCAGTAAACAATTAAAAAGTCGTGCAAGAAAGTTCATCCAGCTGGCTAGTAACAAAAGATTTGATCCTTTCATGCGAGTTTCGTGGGTCCTTTTACTTCACTGAAGGCTCTCCAGATTTATGCCCAACGCGAGAACAGGCAAATGAGACTCAGAACAGTGAGATATGATGTTGTTACTGGATTCTGTAGTGCTATTTCATGTCATTCACATGGCTGTTTTGCCTGAGTAAGGCCCATATTTTGGGGCTTGAAAGACTGTTCACAAGTGTTTATACATTGCTTGTGTGTGCATGTATGTGACTGTGAGGTTTTTCATTTTAATTGACTGAACTATTAAATGGAAAATATCCTAAACTTTGCATAATGTTTTACTGCCTTTATGAGTAGCTTAGTGCAGTTAAGTAACTAACAACTTTAACGAAGTTCTAACTGTCTTTTGTGAAAAGATTATGGTGGTGATAATGGATGGAATCTGTAAAGTATGAATATGTCAGTATATTTACTTTAAATGAAAAATGTCTCCTCGTTGTTGTGTTTTGTCCAAAGTGAAGACTAAATGGAGAAAGTTCTCTCCTGTGTTCTTATTATGTATAGCTTTTCTTTTTCTCTACCACAAATCCTTCTTCTCTGTTCTTTTCATGCTACTTGTTGTTCTGTCATAGAAATATAATTGTATGCCAAAGAATTACTCACAAAGTTTTTGTAAAGTACAATAATGGTTACTTAATACACTTCTCTTTTCATCTCTGTGGTCAGAATTTATCTTCAAAAATGGTCTAATACAGCTTTATATGTGAAGAAGCAGGCAAGGGAAGTTTCTCCTATTTCCTACAAAGAACGAATAAAGTGAAATCCAAAGACATGTTTAACAGCGATTTTTTTCAATATCTGTGGAAGTAATTTATTTTTCATTTATTATGCACAATGGAGTTATAAAATTGTTTTTTTGCACAGGTGGCTGAAGTTTGAAGAAGATGTAGAGGATGGTGGAGAGAGGTGGAGCAAACCGTACGTTGCCACACTGTCACTTCATAGCTTGTTTGAGCTGAGAAGCTGTATCCTGAATGGCACAGTTCTTTTGGACATGAGAGCTAACTCCATAGAAGAAATTGCAGGTATGTATTGATGATCCATTTATTAGTTATGAAAATTAATCATAAAAATCAAGTGCTTACAATATTGCTTACAAGAAAGCTATTGCATAATAATCAGTTCAGTTTAGAAACGCCTAGGAAATATTTTACTCTATATATTAGAAAGGAAACTAATGTCTGACACAACTGGTAAATATTTTATTTACATTTTTTGTATAGACTTTGCTATTTTCAGAATCAATTTTTATGTAAAGGAGAAAATTAAAATGGAGCAGAGAGGACAGTTTGGATATATTTCATTAGAACTGGCATGTTCTCTGCTCTTGCTGTGCCACCTCACACTGTGAATGATGTGTGTGCTAACTTCCACAGACTGAATCTGCTGCTGTGGTAATTGCAGACAGTCTAGCTTAAAAAAAATTAAATTATAGGGAAGTATTCATCATAATTATGTAACACGAAAACACACCAGTTTAAAACCATGTCTCTGAGTTGACAATGAAATCAAGAACAATAATATGATGTGTAAGTTTTTTGAAAATTTTAAGATGCATTAACTTGTTTAACTAAAGTTGAGTGCATTTTTCCCAGTGAAGGTCTATTTGGCAGTTGCAATTCTAGACCTTTTGAGAACAGCAGAAGCAGAAAGCAAGAGAATATAATAGATGAGTCTTGTCTCCCAAAAGTATAAGTGAGATTGAGACTGAATGCCATTTTCTGCATTCCTGGTGTTTCCCATAAAGGTTATAACTAGTAACTGCAGGGGACTTTTTTTTTTTTTTGGTAGTGCATTTGTTACTGTAGTAAAGCAGGTTGTTGGGGGCTGTATGTACAGACCTGTAATGCATGGCCTCAAGGAGTCCTAAAACTACAAAGGTTGCATGGCCATGCTAGAATCACGCAGGACAGTCTGGTATGTTTATTTCCCTTTCCAAATACAGCAGCTAATTTGAATTAGATAATTTATAAATAAATTTGTTAGTAGACAAGAACTGAAGATAAAGTAAGTTTCTCTAGTCTATCAACACAGGGATAATTTAGGTATTATAAATATATTTACGTTAGACTTTAAACTCATCATTAAAATGATAACACCCTGTCCAAGGGCTCATGTATCCTAGAGAGTTTCTGGTGCTGTGTCCTAGCTCTTGTTGTTTAAAAATCTCTGTCCCTTCCAGCAGAGAAGACACAGAGCAAAGAGCTGTACTATTTTATAGTCTGGGGTCTCTAATTTTCTGTTTATCTACCCTTAATAAGGGTTAGTCTCATGCTCATGATAGTTATTGGACTGGTATCCTTGCATATCTTACATCTACTTATTTTAAGTTTTACCTTGCTTCTACCTGTGGTGAGTTGACCTTGGCTGGACGCTAGGTGCCTACCAAACCACTCTGTCATTCCCCTCCTCAGCAGGACAGGGTGGGGAGAAAATAAGATGGAAAAAAGACTCATGGGTCAAGATAAAGGCAGTTTAATAAAGCAAAGACTGCACGTGGAAACAAAACGAAAAGCTTTATTCTCTACTTCCCATCAGCAGGAGATGCCCAGCCGCTTCCTGGGAAGTAGGGCTTCAGGACACACGTAGTGATTGCTCCGGAAGACAAACATCATAATAATGAACCTTCATCCCCTGCCTTCTCTTAACTTTTATTGCTGAGCAGATGTCATATGGTATGGAATATCTCTTTGGTCAGTTTGGGTCAGCTGTCCTGGCTATGTCCCCTCCCAAGATCTTGCCCACCCCCAGCCTACTGGTGAGAGGGGGTAGAAATGTTGGAGGGACAGCCTTGATGCTGTATGAGCACTGCTCAGCAGTAGCCAAAACAGTGGTGTGTTAGCAACGCCTTCCTAGCTACCAGTACAAAGCACTATAAGGGCTGCCCTGGGGAAAATTAACTCCATCTAAGCCAGACCCAATATACTATCTTACTGTATTTCACATTTCTGAAAATGGTGCTGTATCTGTAAATCATACATTTGATACTTTATACAAATTATACAATATTTTGCTATTTTATACAAATATCTATTAGATTTATGGTATTCTCCATATTGCAAACTTTGCTTGAAGATCAAACATGATGCAACAGATGTAAATTGGGAAAGAGCACATGCACAGAGAAATGGTGCATGAATGGTTGTTGGGGCCTTTTTGTTGCCTTATCACAGGTGCAAAGTAGATAGAAAATAACAGAAAATGTAAAATATACAAATAAAAATAGAAAACTTTTGTTTAGGTAAAGGTGCAAAAGACAGAGCCAGGAAATTTTCTAACACTCAAGATTATCAGGAAAACTGCTTTATGGGTGATATTTAAGTCTATGTAAGGGCACGATAAAATTGATTTTAGTTATTTACATTATCAGGTAAGGGAGATATTGTTCAGTGGGCTATATTTAACAGTGGAATTAAAATTGGTGCAGCTAGTGGTAGCTGCTTTTTGCATTTACCTTTCCCAAATTGTTTATGTCAAACTGATGGCAAGTTATTATTAATCCAAATTTGCAGAAACTTGCGTGGGTTTCTACTCTGTGCTGAGATCTGATTCTCCCATGAATCATGGTCTGAATCAGAGCTTCAAAATTTGTCTTGATAATTATAAAAGATAAACATGAAGAATAAAAAGCAGCTGGTTTGAAAGAACAAAGGTGTCTATCAGTATGCTGCTTTATTATTTATTTAATTTAAAAAAATAATCAAGAAGTACTTAGATCAGCTCCTTGATGTTCTTTTATTGCTTTTTTGCTTAAATTATACACTAGGCTTTTCAAGCTTGAGCTTTACATTTTTAATGCAAAAATCACTCAACTTCTTCTGTAGTTGGCTAAGGGATCCCTTCCAGAATTGTTTTTATTTAAGTAAGTAAAAAAGTAAGGATTAACACAATAAAAGTAACTTCAGCAAACTTCCTTGGGCTTTTTTGGTGGGGTTTTGGTTTTTTTGTTTTTTTTTTTTTTGTTTTTTTTTTTGTTTGTTTGTTTTTTAAGATACTGTATAGTGACAGCACAATGAATTCATGTTTATAATCTCTTAATCTTTAGTTAGTTGTAGTCATTTTCTTTGTTTGTTTAGGTAATGTGTCCAAGAATTCCAGCCTTCATAATATGGATTTTGGTTTGAAACTCATTACAGGTGTAAGTCGTCCTTCAGTAGAGAATTTGATGAGTTCCTGTAATGCTGTTTTGGATCAGTCCTGATTCTGGGATATCTTGATTTGCTGATTAGGAGAACTTGTTTCTTCTGAGATGAGGCTTTAGGATGACTTTCATGAATTGGCATGCACCATTTTCACTTTAAAAGTGAAACCTGTTGTTGTGGCAGATGTGGGTGCGTTTCATTTATTGTTCCATTTGTTCAAACTGGTAGGCATCTCATTCTGATAAGGTGATCTGACACATGATAAGGTTTGCATGGGTCTTGCTTTGTTTTTGAGAGAGGATTTTTTTCCCCCCTTCTGCAGATTCAGTAAGTAATGAGGTAATTATTATTATTTTTTTTAAAAAACTTTGCTGCAGGTTCTTCTGGCAAGCGAATCATTCTGTAAATTACTCACGTTGTGTGTCAGGTTTCTTTGAAGAGATTTTTTTTTTTCCCCCCCTATAAATAAAGTTGCTATTCCATTTGCTTTCTTCATTTATTATTATTATTTGTGTTGTAGTAATGTTGTTTTCCTCTTCCTCAATCAAGTTCCTTTGTAATTTGGTACTGATACTACATATGTAGTTCCTGCTCTCCAGTGCTTACAAAATGTTACAAAGAGTGTGGCACACATTAGGCAGTGCTGGGAGGCGGAAAGACTTTAAGAGTAGTGGTGACAAGCACGCGACCAAGATATGTGTGCTAGGTATGTTAGAAATTTGATAATTCCAAATAATATGACAGGCTGCTCTTTTTCTGTATAAACGACTGCTGGACCTGAAGATTAGACAGAACTTGTATCTCTCAGGAAAGCCTTTGCTGTCTGTTCTACTCAGTCGCTGTTCACTGTCAGTAGTTACAGTCCTGCCTATCATGTTCTGTATAATGCAAACATTGTTTTCACCTTGGAGTTGGTATGTATTCCAGCTGTATCTGACAGTCCTGACACTTCAGAATTTAAAGAAATGGTTGCCCCCACCTGTTGGCTTCGATTTTTTTCATCATTTAACTCTCTTCTTATTTTGCTTCCTAGCCATTCTCATGCTAGGCTAGTCCAGTGATCCTCATGGTCGCTTTTGGTTGTTCTTTTCAATGGTACTGTGTATACCACATGTAGGAGAATTTGCAAAACCAGATTGTACCCTGTGGTCTTAAGTGGTACTCCTAAATTAACTTGTACTTCTGATTCATAGCTTATTACTATGGGTTTTGTTTTTTAATGCAATCTGTTGATAATTTTACTGCATTACTATAGTGCATCATATCTTTTGAGAACAAATGAACTAATTGTGCACATGTACTTTCTTTTTACTTGCCTTATCACTTTATTAGGGAGAAATGTGTGTGGTGTATATTTTGGTGATGTCTTGCTAAGTGAGCTATATTCCAATATAAAATTGTATTTCTGTAAATGCAGTGCCAGTCTTCATATCCTTGAAAGAGGTATACTTAATCTTCCTTGCTAAATTGAGACAAAGAATTTCTATTTGTTTTAGTCAAGGCTGTTAATCTATAAACACTTATTCACTAAGGCATTAAACTCTCAGCACTTAGCCCTTGAAAATTTCTTTTATTAAAGTCTATGTTTTAAGACCTTAATGGGCTTGTGGCAAAATCTACAGATGAAAAACATCTTTTATACAGTTTGCGTAGCTTTCAGAACATTTTGTATTTCATCCCTGGAAACTCTGATAGTTCTGCATAAAAATATTTTGGCACCAGTCATGTGGTGAGAATTTTTAAATCATCCTGTCTTCCAGCACGTCCATTCTTTATTAGATTCTTTTTCATTCCAACTCTGTCTTATTAAAAAAGGACTTGATGTACAAGACTGTAAATTTCTTTGGACAGGCACCCAATTTTCTTTGTTGATAAAGAGCTTA